GGATCGGCGACGGCACCTGCGACGTCGCCTGCAACGTCTCCGCCTGCGACTTCGACGGCCCGGACTGCGCCAACGGCACGTCGGCCGTGCCGACGAGCAAGAAGTGGGCGTCGTCGGGCTCGTCCGCGTCGACGCCCAAGAAGCACCGCTGCGCGACGGGCTGCCCGTCGACCTGGCTCGGCGACGGCTCCTGCGACAAGAAGTGCGACTCGCGGGCCTGCGCCTACGACGCGGGCGACTGCGGCGGGCCCGCGCGCTTCGAGAACGATCTGCCCGGCGGCGGCGTCGGCGAGCCCGTCGTCCTGCGGGTCGGCGACCCGGCGGCCTACGCGAACCTGAGCGCGAGCTTGTCGAACTGCACCGTCGACGCGGCGACGCTCGAGGACGCGCCGGCGCTCGTGGGAGAGGCCCTCGTGTTGACGGAGACGAAGGTGCTGGTCTTGATCCTCGACGGCGAGGCCGCGGAGGCCCATTTTCCCCCGCGCAACGGCACGAACTCGTCGAACGCCACGTCCTGGTCCGCCGTCGTGCGGGCGACGTGCGACGGGGTTCGGCCGACGGAGCTGCGCCTCAACTTCACGCTCCTCGACGCGCGGTGGCCGCCGGCGCCCGAGGCGCCGAACGCGACGGCGACGAACGCGTCGGCGCGCCCCCTCGTCGCCGCGCGCTGCGACGCGGCCCACTTCGGCGCCGGCGTCGCCGTGGTGCGCGTCAACCGCACCTGGACCGCGCGGCTGCCGCTGCCGCGGGATTTGGCGGTCTCCGACGTCGTCGCACGGTTCACCGCTTCAGTCACTGAGGCCAACGGCACCGCGGCGACGGTCGAGGCGCCCCTCGTGCGCGTGTTGACGAACGACTCCTCCATCGGCGCCAACCGCAGCGTCGACGCGGTGTTGGCGCTGCCGGGGAAGGCGCTCTGGCGGCGGCTGGCCAATACCAACGAAGCGCGCGACCTCGCGGCCGCCGTGGCGGCCTGGCGCCGGCGCCGGGACTCTTCGCCCCTCGTCGTCGCCGGCCTCGTCGAGCTCGTCGTCGAGGCGACGGCGGCCGTCGTCGGCTGCGCGTCGTTCGCGCTCGAGACGCGCGACGCCGGCGCCGTCGACGACGACNGCCCGCGGCGCGGGCGGCGCCTGCTCCTGGACACCTACGGCGAGTCGCTCGTGCGCGTGAACCGCCTCTACAACGCCGAGTTCGGGACGAAGGTGCGCAAGGTGCCCGCGCACATGCCGCACATGATCGACCGCGACGTCGTCGGCGCGATCCAGAAAAAATACGCGGAGCCGTGGCGCGAGACCGCGTCGCACCGCTTCCGGTCGGGCCGCGACGTCCAGTACGCGTTCGCGTACTTCCACTACGTCATGGGCACCTTCGACGCCGCGGCGCCGGATCTGGACGAATTGTGGCGGGTGGAGATCGACGCGGACGGGTCCGGGGCGCTCGACGGCAACGAGGTTTTGACGCTCGCGGCCATGGCGCTGGGCAAGGAGCCCGACGACGCTTATGTGGATGAGATCTACGCCTGCGCGTCGTCGGAGCGCGTCGGCGCGGCGCTCCGGCGCTGGTGGCGGCGGCTGCCGTCGCCGCGGTTCGCGCGCGCGGCGGCCGCGGACCGCGGCGACCGCTGGGCGGACCCGGGCCGCGCGGTGACGCTCCCGTCGCTGCGGCGCTGCGACGACGCGCGCGAGGGCGTGCTGCGCCACGCGAAGCTGCGCCGCGAGCGCCGCGAGCGCTACGTCGTCGAGAAGAATTTGGACGAGGTCGCCTTCGAGATGCTCTCGGACGACTACAACGCGACCAAATCGCAGCTCGACTCGATCCGCGCGCGGCGGACCAAGTTCATCTGCGTCAACGACAACGTCGACGACATGACGCCCGAGCTCGCGGCGCTCTTCCGCGACTTCTTCGCGTCCTACTACCCGCGGCGGTCCCAGTTCGAGCTCCCGCCGGGGTCGCGGAACCGCCACCTCCGCCTCGAGGCCTACGAGCGCGACGCGCTCAAGGACAGACTCGCCGCGGGCCTCGCGGTCGCGCTCGCCGCCTGGGGCGCGGCGGCGGCGCTGCGGCGCCGGACGACCGCGGGGGCAGGCGAGGACGAGGGCAAGGGGAAGGCCGAGTAATGTGGCTTGAAATCGGCTACTAGCGCCCGACGTGTGCGTGCGAGAGGGACCAGAAGGCGGATCGATCTTATGAACGTGAGGGCGATAGGCGATGGGAGGGCGACAACGCGCGCGTGGAACGGAGTGAGGGCATCTAGGCGCCATCTATGTGCGCGCGCTGGGTAGGCGGGATGGCGCGAGTTGGCTTGGCACATGTTGTTGTGAGCTTAGCGATCAGGACAGGTTCGGCAGTTATGGCCTGTTGCATGGCAAATGCTGCATTTATGGACACGCGTTGTAATTTCTTCGGGATCGATTTCTCCTTCCTCATCTACTATATTTTCCAACTTGTTAGCGTTTTTGTTGGAAAGCCACTTCATGCTCCGCAGATAAGCAATCACTTCATATGCCTCTTTGGCGTTGACCATAAACTCGTAGACTCCGGCTAAGATCTCACACGCGATGGCCTCCATCTTGCCTAAGAAGTTGTCATATCTTTGGTCTCGATCGCGAAGGACCGTCGAACGATCGGGTGAGATCGACGCGCGGCGCGCGCCCGCGCCCTTTCTGGGGGGATGCGCCGTTGGCGGCGAACGTGGCGATGGCCGTGTGCCGAGCTCTCCGAGGGCCGCCGAAGACGCGAGGCGGATTGTTCGCCCCGCTTCGGCTCCGACGCCGCGAGGAAGTGCTCTGATCGAGTCTCTCAAAGAGCCGCGCCGCCGTGAGGCGCGAGGCGGCGAGGCGAGGGCCAAGAGGGCGCGGGGGGGAGGCGCGGAGGAGAGAGCGAGAAATTTCGGACGCGGCCGCGTGCGTGCGGGTCGGTTGAATCGTAGATGTTGAGCAGTAGATGATGAGCAGTGGTAACGCTCTCGTGTCGCACACCCAAACCTCTCGGACGATTAGCCTCAATATGGCCTTCGCGCCGCGCCACAGGCCGTATGAGGCCGCCTGTGACCCCCGCGCCGCTTCCGTCCGCGTCTACTAGTCCCTGCGCGGTCGCGTGCCACTTTTGAGCGCTGGAAACGGCGTGCGCGCGACGGCGCACACGGCCTCGGAAACCGCCTGCGGGAGCGGCCGAGCAGCGGGCGGCGCTGGACGCGTCCGGAGGTCGCCGCGGGTCCGTAAACCGTCGCGGCGGTCCGTCCATGTTGCGCATAGATGCGGCGCGCGCTCAACTGCGTCGGCCGAGGCCGTGGTCGTGGTGCGGCGCGCGG